ACTCACCGAAACAAAAGAGGTATGCCTCCACTTTTATCTGCTCACAATTTTTGTGTTTCTCCTTCAGAAATAGTTTATGCCCTAGAGAAGCTCGGTCCCAAGATGAAATGGCCACAAAAGATGAAGTCGGACCCAAATTCCAGAAAGCCGAACGCCCTCTGCGAGTTCTATCAGGAACGGGGCCACAAGACCAATGATTTCATAGCCATACGAAAACAAGTAGTGAACATGCTCCACCAAGGACATTTAAAGGAGCTGATGAGTGACCGAGGGCGAGCCAATTTCGCCTGTGGACGAGAACATCAAGGCCCCCTAAAGCCACCCTCCCTGCCCGCACCATCCAAATGATCATTGGCGGAGGCGACGAAGCAACAATCAACCATGTGAAGTTCACCACCACACACAAATTGAAGCGGTCGATCGCCTATGAACGGTATGATGACCTTGAATATAGTATCGTCTTCGATAAGTCAGATACCCACGATTTGACCTTTCCCTATTTTGACGCTCTTGTCATTACTTTACAAATTCAGATACCAATGTAAAAAGAATCATGGTAGACGATGGGAGCGGCACATGTATTATCCACCCTAGAGTTCTCACACAAATGAGACTCGAGGATAGGATAGTACCACGCTGCATAACACTAACAGGTTTTAACAATGCAGTTGAACGAACCTTCGGAGAGATAACATTGCCCGTTTTGTCAAGGACGTCACCCTGGAAACAACATTCCATGTCATGAACCAAGAAACAACCTACAACGCCATTATAGGACGACTATGGATATACGCCATAAGGGCCATCCCGTCTAGTTTATATCAGGTCATCAAGTTCCCTACCATTATAGGACGACTGTGGACGAGAACAACGCACGGCTCAAGAATGCTATCGCATCGCCCAAGACTGCACATACACTCAACAATTAAGAGGGGAGGACTTAGAAGCATAGCAATTACTGAAGTTGGGGCTTGAGTCCGACGAACAAATAAACGTCGTCAAAGACCCTGACGTCGTGGAAGACACAGGTTCAACAATGGAAGACCTCGATCCCGTTCAGCTAGACAAAAGTGACCACAACAAAAAAGCGTACATCGGCCACAAACTCACAGAACTAGGTAAATTCCATAAATTTTTAACTGACAGCGCTGATCAGTTTGCTTTCTCCCATGCAGATATGCCAGGTATCCCAAAAGATATTGCAACACACAAGCTGAATGTCGATATACTCTACCCACCGGTATGACAAATCAGAAGAAAGTTTAATGCTGTAATCAATGAGGCCGACCGCGAAGAGGTAGAAAAATTGCTCGCCAACTGTTCCATTCGAGAGTCAAAGTACCCTTAATGGGTCGCCAACGTGGTCATTGTGAAAAAGCAAAACAGGAAATGGCACATGTGCGTAGACTTTACGGACCTAAACAAAGCCTACCCAAAAAACTCCTTCCCGTTGCCTCACATCGATCAGCTCATTGGTGCAACAACAGGGCACAAATTATTAAGTTTCTTGGATGCCTACTCAGGCTACAAGCCAAATACTCATGGAGGAGGAGGACCATGAAAAGACCACCTTTATCACTCACCAAGTAATGTACTGCTACAGAGTCATGCCGTTCATGTTAAAAAATGCAAAGGGTGACCTATTAGAGGCTGGTCACCAAGATGTTCAAAGAACAACTCATCAAAAAGATGGAAGTCTATATAAACGACATATTGGTCTAATCAGAAAGAAAGGAGGACCACATCAACCACCTGAGGGAAGCCTTCGATATATTTAGACGATACAACATAAAGCTGAACCCCGAAAAGTGTGCTTTCGACGTGACTCGAGAAAGCTCCTCAGCTTTTTGGTGTCACAGAGAGGCATCAAGGTCAATTCTGACCAAATCAAGGCTATAGAGGGAATAACTAAAATTTTGACCAGCAAGAAACAGGTGCAGAAGCTGACCGGCCGTATAGTCGCCCTGTCAAAGTTCATCTCACGATCATCTGACAGATGCCACAAATTCTTCAACGTACTCAAAAAGGACAACGGACTCTAATGGAATTCCGAATGCATCAATGCCCTAAGAGAATTAAAGGCATACTTGTCCTCACCCCCATTACTTGCCAAGGCAGAACCTGGCGAACATCTCCTAATCTACCTGGCCGTAACTGACATCGCATTAAGCGCAGTCTTGGTCCGTGAAAACAAAGGTACACAATCTCTAATCTATTACATTAGCAAAACCCTAGTCGATGCCGAAATGAGGTATCCCTACCTCGAAAAACTAGCTCTAGCATTAGTTGTAGCTTCACAAAAGCTTAGACCCTATTTTCAATGCCACCCCATCTCGGTGGTCATGACCTTCCCCCTAATAAGCATCCTACATAAACCCGAGCTGTCAGGTAGATTGGCCAAGTGGGCCATCAAGTTAAGCGAGCACGATATAATATATCAGCCGCGAACAACGATAAAGTTGCAAGTACTCTCCAACTTCGTCGCCGACTTCAGCGCCAAAATAATGCCTGAGGCCGAGCAGGAAGCCTCCCGTACGTCCCCCAAGTTATCTGACATGTGGGTCCTGTACACCAATGGTGCCTCTAACGTGTCAGGATCTGAACTGGGACTCGTGCTCGAGGCCCTAATAGGCGAAGTCATCTGCCAGTCCATACGGTGTCCCAACATGACTAACAATAAGGCCGAGTATGAGGCCATAATTGTAGGACTGAAACTAGCTCTCAAGTATGGAGCACGACAAGTCATCCTCCAATGTGACTCACAACTCATCGTCAACTAAGTCAGAGGGACTTTCCAAATCAAAGAACAAAGGCTACAAAAATATGAGGCAGAAATTCATAAGCGACTGCCCGAGTTCGACAAATACCAACTTGACTAGATACCACGAGCACAAAACATCGAAGCAGATGGCCTTGCTAAATTAGCAGTAGCCACCAAGAACATAAGCAGGAAAAGAAACTTGGTCACCCTCCTCCGTATGTCAATAGACCAAATTGAGGTACGCAATATAAACTTGACTTGGGACTGGAGCAACCGTATTATGTCATATTTGCAGGACGAAGTTGTATAGGTCCGAATTTGGTGACCACGGTAATAGATAAGCAAGACAAAGGACGCCGTCGACCATGATATAACAACTAAAGGTTGTTCTCATAAAGGTTGATGCCAAAGGTGGGCAGCCGAGATAAGAAAGTAATGGTAGCATAGATTCAGAAGTGGACATAAAGAATATTCCTTTGGATATTCTTTATGCTGTACTTTTTAGGGTTTTTGGGAAATATCCCTTATAAATAGGAAGAGATAGGGAACAAAGGGGGATTTGATTTTTCTGAACTAGAACATATTGTAAAGGTTGAGAGAAGAATATACGAAAAAGTTGTCTTATTCATTAATTTATTCAAGCACAGGTTGTTCAATCTTTATCCATAAATCTCAAGATCCCATATACATCTTGACTTCTCACTTCTCCACGTTACCGTCAAAGAAAACGAATATCCCAATCATATAATCATTGGGTGGTAGATCCTTTCCCATTACATTCATTGTCATTACTTACAGTTATTATACATTTATGCTATCTTATTTATTGTCAATCATAGCACATTAAGTTTGCTATTTAATGCTCTTGAGCTCTACTCGCTATACTAGAGCTCTATCTTATTCGGTCTAAAATTTATTAAGTTCAACTAAGATTCACCCTTTAACTTATCACTAATTGGTTTAGCACTTATTTGCTCAAACAATTTGGTGTCGTCTGTGGGGAATTTTTAGTTGAAATTATAGTTCCTTCTAGATCGTAAAAAAAAGACAACCATCTATTCTTCGTTTGCACAAACTAACGATGGCAGGAAAAGGAGATGCAAGACTGAAAGCGATAGCAGACGTCACTACCAACATCTTGAACACCATCAACGAAGATGGCAGGGAAGACAACGAGAACCTGGCACCAAACGCTATGCCCAAGCGGAGTGCTTCACTTCCCCCTTACAAAAGTCTAACAACTTCACGCGAAAGGGGAGCCTCCATGTCTACAGCTGAGGAAGCACCACCAGTAGTGAAAAAATTACTGGAAGAGTGGCTGACAAGCACTCTAAACAACATACTCGACAGACCCGTTCAAAGGGAGAACAGAAACACAACACAAGCATATATCACAACAACCACTAGCGAGCAGCCCGTCCCTCAAATAGGTAACACTTACACCACTGTTGATGCAGTTAATGATGCTCTCACATCCATTATAAAGAAAATGGAATAAATGGAAAATGAAAACAAGGAGCTACGCGATCAAATAAGGGAGCATCAAGAAAGGGTTGATAAGATACCGGGCACCTCAAAGTTGCTACCAAAACGAGATGTTGGTCTATTCGTCAAACAACCGTATAGCGAGGAAGCGGCTCCACATGCCATTCCCAAAACCTTCAAAATGCCACCATACCTAAAGATATACGATAGTACTACAGACCCCGATGATCACATCATCCATTACGTCACAGCAGTGAAGGGCAACGACCTTTCGAAGGAGCAAGTACCATCAGTGTTGCTAAAAAGGTTTGGCAAAACCTTAATGGGTGGAGCCTTAACCTGGTGTTCACAACTGCTGGCGCGGTCAATGGCAACATTTGAGGAAATGGCCGACAAGTTCGTCACCGCCCATGCAGGGGTTAAAAAGGTAGAAGCCAGGGTGAATGACATATTCGCCATTAGGCAATTGCCTGGCGAGGGACCCAGGGACTTCCTCACCCGGTTTAACAGGGTGAGAATGAGCCTACCAAATGTATTAGAAGGGATGGCGGTATCGGCTTTCCAGAAAGGGTTGAATAGGACCGGGTCGAGAGCAACTAGAAAACTATTAAGCAAGCTCATGAAATACTCTCCACCACTTGGGAAGAAATCCACAATGCCTATTGCGCTGAGGTGAGAGCCGACGAGGACAACCTTAACAGTCCAACCCAACGACTAACATCAGTTCAAACAGAGTCGAGAAAAGATCGTCATGATGACGGTCAAAGAGATCAGTCAGGCCCCCTTCTCAATCAAGAAATACATCAGCCCTACATCAGAATCGCCATCCCACCATCTCCTCGACATGCGTAAGGGCCGCCTAGGTCTCACACAAGGACTCAGCGAAATGAAAGATGTATGCCTCCACTCTTATCTGCTCACAATTTTTGTGTTTCCCCTTCAGAAATGGTGTACGCACTAGAAAAGCTTGGCACAAAGGTGAAATGGCCACAAAAGATGAAGTCCGACCCAAGTACTCAAAAGTCAAATGTCCTCTGTGAATTTCACCAGGAGTGGGGTCATAAAACTGAGGACTGCATAGCTCTACGGCAAGAGGTAGTAAACATGCTGAATCAAGGGCACCTGAGGGAACTGATGAGCGACCATGGACGAGCCAACTTCGGCCGCAGACATGAACAACACCAGGGACCTCTAAAGCCACCTTCCCCTGCCCGTACCATCCAAATGATCATTAACGGAGGCGATGAAGTAGCGTTCTACCATGTGAAGTTCACCACCACACACAAACTGAAGCGGTCAATCACTCACAAATGGTATGACGACCTCGGAGACAGTATCATCTTTGATAAGTCAGATACCGATGGTTTGACTTTACCTCACTTCGATGCTCTTGTATTACTTTACGTATTTCAGATACTGATGTGAAAAGAATAATGGTAGAAAATGGAAGCGATGCGTGTATTATCCACCATCGAGTCCTCACACAAATGAGACTCGAAGACAAGATAGTACTGCGTTGCATAAAACTAACAAATTTTAACAATGCAGTTGAGTGAACCTCTGAGGAGATAACGCTACACGTACTGGCCGGGGGTGTCACCCTAGAAACAATGTTCCATGTCATGAACCAAGACACAACTTACAACGCCATCATAGGGTGGCCATGGATACACGCCATGAGGGCCATCCTATCAAGCCTATATCAAGTAATCAAGTTCCCTACTCCATGAAGAATATTCAGCATCTGAGGCGAACAACGCACCGCCCAAGAATGTTATCGTATCGCCCAGGATTGCACGTACACCCAATAACTAACGGGAACAGACGCAGAAACATAGCAATTACCAAAGTCGGGGATCGGACTCGACATACAAACAGACATCATCAGGGACCTCGATATCGTAGAAGCCACTGAGTCAAACGCAGAAAACCTCGATCCCGTCCAACTGAACAACAATGACATCAACAAAAAGGCTTACATCGGACATAAACTCTTAGAACCAGGTAAATTTTACAAGGTTTTAATTAACAATGCCGATTTGTTCGCCTTCTCCCATGCAGAAATGCCGGGCATCCCGAAAGATGTTGCCACATACAAGTTGAACGTCGACCCACTCTATCCACCAATGCAAAAAATAAGAAGAAAATTCAATGTCACAATCAGCAAGGCCGTTAGTGATGAAGTGGATAAGCTGCTCGCCAACGGTTCCATCCGGGAATCAAAATACCCCCAATGGGTCACCAATGTGGTCATGGTAAAAAAGAAAAAACGGGAAATGGCGAATGTGCGTGGATTTCACAGACCTAAACAAGGCGTGCCTAAAAGACTCCTTTCCATTGCCTCACATTGACCAACTCATCGATGCAACAACGGGGCACGAATTGCTAAGCTTCTTGGACGCCTACTCGGATTACAACCAAATCCTCATGGAGGAAGAGGACCAGGAGAAAACTACTTTCATCACCCATCAGGGAATGTACTGTTACAGAGTCATGCCTTTCGGGTTGAATAATGCAGGGGCAACATACCACAGGTTGGTCACCAAGATGTTCAAAGATCAACTCGGCAAGACAACAAAAGTTTACATCGATGACATGTTGGCCAAATCAAAAAGGAAAGAAGACCACATCGACCACCTGAAGGAAGCTTTCGATATATTAAGGCGGTACAACATGAAACTAAACCCCGAAAATAGGCCTTCGGCATAACCTCGGGCAAATTTCTCGATTTCTTAGTGTACAAAGAGGCATCGAAGTCAGTCCAGATCAAATCAAAGCCATTGAAAGGATACCTGAAGTGTTAACCAGCAAGAAATAGGTGCAAAACCTGACTGGCCGTACAGCCGCCCTGTCGAGATTCATCTCACGGTCATCCGATAGATGCCACAAATTCTTCAATGTGCTGAAAAACGACAACGAGCTCCAATGGAATTCAGAATGCATCGATGCCTTAAGAGAACTAAAGGCATACTTGTGGCATCCTAATATACTGCTCGCCAAAGCAGAACCTGGCGAATGCCTCCTAATATACTTGGCCATCTCAAAAGTCGCAGTAAGCACAGTGTTGGTCCATGAAAATAAAGGTATGCAATCTCCAATTTATTATATTAGCTAAACCCTCGTCTACGCCGAAATGAGGTACCCCCACCTCGAGAATTGGCTTTAGCATTGGTTATAGCTTCACAAAAGCTTAGATCCTATTTTCAGTGCCACCCCTATATCGGTAGTGATGACCTTCCCCCTGCGGAGCATCCTACATAAACAAAAATTGTCAGGAAGACTAGCCAAGTGGGCCATAGAATTGAGCGAGCACGATATAACATATCAGCCGCGAACAACAATAAAATCATAGGTACTCGCCGACTTCGTCGCCGATTTCAGTGCCAAAATAATGCCCCAGGTCGATCAGGAAGCTTCTCGTACCCCCCAGGGCTACCCGACCTCTAGGTCCTTTACAACAACGACACATCCAACGCGTCGGGATCTGGCTTGGGACTCGTACTCGAGGTCCCAAGAAGCAAAGTAATCCGCCAATCCATACGGTTCCCCGATATGACTAACAATGAGGCCGTAATTGCAGGATTAAAGCTAGCTCTCAAATACGGAGCACGACGAGTCATCCTCAGATGCGACTCACAACTCGTCATTAACCAAGTTATAGGGACTTTCCAAATCAAAAAGCAAAGGCTACAAAAGTACCAGACAGAAATTCATAAACTACTTCCAGAATTTGATGAATGTCAACTCGACCAGATACCTCAAGCGCAAAACATCGAGGCAGATGGCCTCGCCAAATTAGAACCAGCCACCAAAATATCACTAAAGAAAATGTGGTCACCCTCCTCCACTCGTCAATAGACCAACTTGAGGTACATTCCATAAATTTGACTTGGGACTGGCGCAACCGCATCATGACATATTTGTAGGAGGAGTACTCCCACAAGACAAAAAGGAAGCTAAAAAGCTTTGAAAGTAGGCGGCCAGGTACAACATCATAAATCACGACCTGTACAAGAGAACGTTCAGGGGCCCCTTGGCGAAATGCTTAGGGCCGAATCAAACAAGGCTCGTGCTCGAAGAAGTGCACGAAGGTCATTGTGGTGTCCATACATGCAACTGAGCCCTCGTTAGATGCCTCACTTGGGCAGGATATTACTGGCTCACTATGAAAAAGGAAGCTGCAGATTACGTCAAAAGGTGCGAGCAGTGCCAAAAGTGCGCACCTATGATACATCAAGCTGGTGAACATCTTCACTCTGTCACTTTGCAATGGCCATTCATCAAATGAGAAATACACATTGTCGGACCCCTCCCAGCGGGGCGAGGTAAGATACATTTTCTTTTGATTTTAACTGACTACTTTTCCAAATGGGTGAAAGTAGGTGCGTTCACCCAAATACGCGAATAGGAAGTCATCACATTCATAAGGAGGAACATCATATGCCGCTTCGGCTTCCCCAAAGAAATCAGCTATGATAATGGGCCCTAATTCACTGGGAAAAAGACCACCGAGTTCTTCGAAAAATGGCACATCAAGCGAATACTCTTCATGCCATATCATCCCGCTGGCAACAGTCAAGCCGAATCCTCTAACAAAATAATATTGAACATCTTAAAGAAAAAGCTCGAGGACCCCAAAGGGTTATGGCTGGAATTGCTACCAAAGGTACTATGGGCCTACCGCACCATGCCAAAAACGAGCATAAACGAAACGCCATATTCACTAGTCTATGGGACTGACACCATGATACCTTGTTAGTTTGTATGAGTCTACCAAATAGTAGAGTACCTGGTCCTCCTCGAGATTCTGCCGAGAATGCTAATAAACTGTAAGTAAATGAGACAAGGGATTTTTACGTGGAAAAATCTCACACAAGGGGACCAAAAACCACGACCTACACCTGTAGGCTTTCAACTTCACTAACTTGTAAAAACCTATTACAAGCCAATTTGTAATGACTCCATTACAAAGAATTCAACTCAACTAACTTGTGGTACTCTTACCACAAGCCACTTTGTGACTCCCTAGTTACAAAGACTTTCACTAACTTGTGATGCTCTCACTATAAGCCACTTTGTCACTCTACAGTTACAAAGGCTTTTGCTTATGACTAGACCTAGTCACGATATAAACTCAAAGAGTTTACGGATTTTACAAAAAGATTCCTAATCAATATTTCTAGCTAAGAAATTTAGGAAATACAATAAGTACAATAACAAAGTTACAACTCAACTAAGGACAACAAAATACTGACTTTAGGAACTGGTCCGTAGTAGCGTTCAACTTTGTTCTTCAAGCTCGTGAGAATTGATTTCTCTGTTTTTGCAAAAGTCTTAAATGAGAAACTGAAACATTCAAGTGATGTTTTAATATCAACTCATTGTTGGTACACCTTGATCACATCACTTGAAATGATGTGAGCACTTTAGTTGGTCAAGGAATGAGTGGGCACTGGAAATAGTGCAGTGCGGCAGAAACAGTGCAGGTGGTCACTTCGTTTCCAGCTGTGTCCAATTAACTTTGTACTACTGTGAGGGAACCACAAGGGTATCATGTCCTTGTTTGGTTTCCTAGCTCCTGAAGCTGTAGCAATTCACATTTAGCTGGAATCCGTTAAACTTGCATTGTAGTCCAAGTGGGTCAGTTCCTTATCTGGTTCTTAACAGTAAGTTTTAGATCATTAAAACATAAGGCAAGGACATTTAAAACCTATCAATTTCCCCCTTTTTGATGATGACAAACTTAACATCGAAAATGTGGATTTAGAGCAGTGAGAACCAGATTAAGTAACAGGAGAACACAAGTTTCACAATTAGTTCCCCCTGACTTTATGCCTTCCTTATTTCTCATTTTTAAATACTACACATATTTGAGAACAAGATTAACTAAAAGTTTCACGATTAGTTCCCCCAGACTTTATTCCCCCTTTTGGCATCACTAAAAAGGCACAAACAGATAAACAACATAAAGAAGTCTAGCCGAGCTAACTCATGCCACATATGTGCACACAACATGATAGAGAAGAGAAACATAGAAATTAAGCTTTGAGATAATAAAAGAGGATAGATTTGATATTGATGAAAATTTTATATGTCTTTGCTTAAAAAGCAAAGGAAACATTGGACTGTTAAGACGGGAGCAGCACCGTTTCATCCCAACCACATCAAAAAAAAAAAAAAAAAACATCTGCCAAACAAGAAAAACTAAAAAAACATTTCCAGAAACTGGTCACTGAAGGGGTACTTGGGGGCACTAGGAGTAAAGGGCTTGGAAGCTGCATCAAGTGTTTGGAGAACAAGGTCTATACGGGCATTGACCGACTTTTGCTCATTGAGCAGTTCTGCTTTCAGGTTCTCTACTTGCGCCCTGAGATCAACATTCTCCTTTGTCAAACGAGCTACTTCATCATTTGATGCCGGGACCC